ACCAAAGACTAAACAACCCAACAATTGACAAATTAGAAACAAAATAAAACTTCAAGAAACAAAACAGTAAATTAAAGAAACGAAAGAAGCTTGATGGCTGGCTGTGAAGTCTCCTCTCTCTCTGTCTCCGCTCAAGGATGGTCCGCATTTATAGCCAGTTTCAATAAGCGCAACTCGCCGCAGGTGCGCAAAGGCGGACTCTATAGAAAACAAACAGTGAGTGACGTCATGACACACACACGCACAGAGACAGGCAATAAAGAGAAAAAAGCAACAGCCGTAACACTCCCCCACCTAAAAGAAGAATCCCTTTTCCTAAAGGAAGAGGATTCTGGGTGAAGCATCCAAAAGCCAACAAGAAAATAATAAAATGGGAAAAAAAACGATTACCTTTTTAAAAATTTTACCCCCTTGAGAGGGCATCCGCAACGACATTATCACGCCCCTTTTTGTGCTGGATCTCAAGATTATAACGTTGGGCCATCAACGCCCAGCGCATTAATCTCTGATTATGATTGTACATCTTATTTAAGAAAACAAGCGGATTGTGGTCGGTGTAGACCATGACGGGAGAAGAACTGTAGCCAACATATACATCAAAATGTTGCAAAGCAAGCAACATCGCCAGGGTCTCCTTTTCTATGACAGAATAGTTAATTTGATGGCGATTTAACTTGGCAGAGAAGTAAGACACTGGGTGAGTGATACCATCAGCACCATCCTGAAGCAGGACAGCTCCAACTCCAGTCTCGCTGGCATCCACCTCTAACTTAAACGGTCGATCCACAGCAGGGGCAGACAAGACAGGTGCACTACAAAGGAGAGACTTGGCACACAAAAACGCATTCTGACATTCATCAGTCCAAATAAATGCAATTTTAGAGCTGCACAATTTCGTAAGTGGAGCTACCACGGTTGAGAAGTTCTTACAAAAACACCTATAGTACCCGGCCATCCCGAGAAAGCGTCTCAATTCTTTCCGCGTACTAGGAACAGGATACGAAAGGATTGCATTCACTTTAGCATTCACTGGACGCACTTTTCCACTCCCAACCTGCTTACCCAGGTATGTCACGGAAGCTTTTGCGAAGTCACACTTTGCAAGAT